ATGCTGAGCACGTCTAGCAGACCCCTTCAATCTAACCGCACGCTGTCTACACCCCAGTCTACAGGGTCACATCTACCGGAGACGCGTCCCACACCACCACCTTTCACCAACCTCGTCTCAACACCAGCGATGCGGCCTGCGACGGCACCACCCTCGTCACCGGCGCCGTCCGAATTTCAGACGCGTAGACGACGAGCAGCGAAGCTCTCCAAGTTCTTCGGCGTCAAAGTGAACGAGCTGGCCGGAGCGCTCTCTGCAGACTCTCCGCCCGAAGCCTCGACCCGGAAGACGTCAATAGCGCTAGAAGGCCCGCGGGAGCGTTCGCTGTCCGGCGGGCTCGGTCACCACACCTCGGTAGTGGTGGCAGAGGCGCGCCGACGGCGGTTCCTGGGCCTGGGTGACGAGGACATAGAGGAACGGGATCTGTCCGAAGTCATCGACCAGCTGCGCAAGCTGCGGTCTTGAAACGCCGGATCTTGGAAAGAAAACACCTGTTATATTCACCACAGGATTCGTTCTACTATTCTCGCATTGTCATGGCTGTTTCGGGCTCGTTATACCTTCCTTCTTGCTCTACATAGCCAGGATTACTACTAATGATCGCACGGTATTTGGACTTTCTAATTCGCATGCTTGGGATAGTTGCACATCACACACAGCATACACATTCTGTGCTCTCGTTGACGCATATTCTTCAAATGTACATATTTATTTTGAACCTTGTGTATCCTTCCGACACTGTTATAATATCCGATGCACTAGGTGGAAACAGATGCAGTTCGTGTTGAGGCTAGTGAGCGTGGAGTCAAGGGAGGCGATGACGACGCACACGACGTCGTTCTGTTTGATGCCCTCCCACCTCCCAGCGGCGGTTGCGTCCAAATCCGGAAATGCGACAGCCCGAAACGGAAATTCCTGTTAGCTCGCGTCCTGTTCGCCGAAGAGTGAGAGACGCTGGCCAGCGTATATAAACCTCGTCGTCCCGCGCACAATACCCCCAGAAACTCATCCACATACCCCTCGCACTTGAACTCCACACCCTCTTCATCTTCCAAGTTTAATCATAATGTCCGCGAACGCTGGCAACGTAAGTCTCGCAGCCATTGGTGCCATACTCACTTCATACTCACACCATGCCCTCAGGTTGCTCGTGGTCTGAGTGCGGTTCCTCATGTTGTATCTTTCGCGGTGACCACCTGACATATCTCACACAGAGGCCGCCGTCTCCAACCCCAACAACTCTGAGGAAGCCAAGGAGCGTGCTCAGCAGCGTCTCAACGACATGGAGGCGAGCGGCGAGGTTGGCAGCACCGAGGCCCACATGGCCCAGGTCAAGCAGGGCCACAAGGTTTGTCTGCATTTGCATCTTGAGCGGCAGCGAGTTGACAGACCACCCACAGGCTAACCTTAACAACCCCAACACCAGCGAGGAGTCCAAACAGCACTCCAAGCAGGTCGTTGACCAGGAGTAGACATGGCATTGGCACGCACGCACTGTAATTGTAGCCTCCAGATTTCATGAAGTATCAGGATTGGTTCCCTATGAATAATTTGAATGTCGCGATCGACCGCTGTGAACGAGAAGATACCTCTACACGCATACATACACTATGTTGCCACAATTGTCTAGTGGCCGCCGCTTCAGCCCATTTTGGCCCGAGTCTCCATCATTCACACTCGAAGGAGTTGCCAGCTTTGCCCATGTCTGGATGTCGTACACCGTTGCGAGCAGCTATGTACCATTGCTCTGTGAGAGTGACGCGGTGTAGATACATCATGTAGTACTAATCCACCTCGCCCACCGCCTCGTCAGCGACTTCATCGAGGAATATGAATAGATAGCACTCGAAAGGCCGATATGCTAGACTTGGCGCATACGGCGGTAGCGAGCGCGCATACACCATCATTAGCCAATCTTGCGAGGCTAGAGACGCAAAGCAAAAGAGTCTTGGAGAGAACCAGGGTAGAGGCGAGACAAAATCGAGGGCAGGTTGCGCAAGAGACGCTTCGAAGCTGGTGGGACGGGAAGAATGAACTTCGCTGCCTTCCCTAGCTTCCCTTGGATCTGGGGTCACGTTAGCAGAGACCGCCGTTTCCTGAATGGCCTCGAGGGGGCCGCCAAGAGATCGACGAGTATCAAGCATCGTCGGGTCCTCCTCGTAGATGGTCTGCAGGCTGCGAACAGGGATTGCAAGGTCGCGGTCCGAGTCGAAGCGGCGGAGATCCAAACCTTCGGCGTCGAAGATGTCCAGGGCGTTGAGAATGTCGCTGCCGACAGGCGAGTTCGAGAACTCGGTACGGTAAGGAGGCACAGGTGAAGATTCCGATGTCGCGACGTCCGCAGTGGCTGTAACGTCGACGGCGGTGCAGGGCAGGCCAGGAGGAGCGTGTTCGACGTCAGCGGGAGCAGAGGCGCCGGAGCTTAGGTTGGGGTCATCAGGAGACAAGAGCGGGACGGCAAGGGCGTCGCAAGGGATATAGGAGCCGCTGGCAGTCGTCTCAGAGACGCTAGAGAAGGAGCTGTCGTGTGGCAGAGATCTTTCGGAAGCGTCGACGCCGTCGGGGGTCAGCCCCGCGTCTGCTTTCAAGGTTTTGGACTCTGTGTTGTGCTCCTGTAGGAACGAAACCAGGGTGAGCTCTTCGGGGCTATTCTCGATCGGATGCAGGGCGTCGTTTTTATTCTATGCACGGCGGAGGCGAAGTCAGTTCGGAATGTGTAGATGCCCGCAGAGTTAACGCGTACGTGGTCCTGGGAGACACTATTCATCTCCACGGGACAGAAGTTACGATCGTCGGCCAGCGACGTCTCTTCATTCTGCGATGCGTCCTCGAACGAATCCTTTGGTTTCCCCTTCCGCAGGCGGTCCGAGATACGTCCCTTGACGCTGAAGCGTCGGGATGTGGAGCGTGGGATCTTCACGTTTTGGATGCGCGACTTGACGTACTCTGCGACGAGGTCGCGCAATGAGGGGGACATGACGGACAGAGGTGCGGATGGAGGTTCGAGTGTAGGTCGTGGTTTGGTTCGAGATGGGGAAAGCTCCATCCAGGGAAGCTGTGGCTGTCAGCCGCATCTGGAGTGCTTCGGTCTCGAGCTCCTTCGAACGCCACCAGCCAGATTTGGCAGGTTCTCTCTCGAGCTACGAGACATGGTCCTCCACGCCTGGCTGTGCAGTCTCGACCACCTGCTGTTCGAATGCCTAGAAACACTTGGAGAACCTTTGTGGCGCCCGCACGTGCCGAAAGCCGCGCGCAGCAAGGCAAATCACAAGCCACGGGTTGCTGAAAGTGAGGGGATTAACATGGTGTAAAAACTAAAGTACAACAAGAGCCGTATATGTGACTATACTCTACAGCCCGAGAATCCAAGTGTCCTACAATGCGGAAATCCACAATCGAGGGGTATCGAAGAGCGAACGACATGGATCAGCCTAGCGTGGTACCGAGCACCTTCATAGCCAGGGCCCGCAGAATCTGGCATAAAAGAATCGCATAAGACACGCGCCCGTAACAGTTGAGACATACAACTTGCCTGAGCCTTCTGGTCTCCGCCCAACTGCGAAAACACCGCGGCAACACTCTTGCCCTTCGCGTCTCTGATGGAACCCAGCCTGTTGCCTGCATACGCGCCTACCATAAGACCCGGCACGTTGGCAACGATGAAGCCCAGTCCTGCGCCGCAGACTGCACCAGTCCACGACCACCAAGGGGCATGCCGTTGGACTTCCGGACGGAGAAGCTAGCGGAGGCGGAAGTTGTCAACTTACGCGCGCACAAGGCAGAGCTTGCATCCTCACCTCGTCAAAAACGTCCGCGAAGACGTAGTCTGCATCCGGTCTGCCCGGCGGGGTAGCCCCCGGCTGCGCACCGGTGGATGCACCGAACATACTCGCAAATTGCGAGAAGAAGTTCGAGGACGCGTTGGGATCGTCAGCCTTCTCTTGGTGCGTACGTGTGGAGTACAGAGCGTCGTATTCCTTCCTTCGTGTAGCGTCCGAGAGCACGTAGTATGCATCTGCAACAGCCTGTGGAGCCAAATTCAACAAGAGCACGCAATTAAAAGAAAACGGGCCAGCACGGCGTACCTGGAATTTCTCTGTAGCCTTCCTCTTCTCTTCTGGAGTTGCATTCACCAGACGGTCAGGGTGCGTCCTGGGGGCTGCATAAATGAGCCAAACCACGGTGTCAGGCGACATCCACACGTACTTTAACGACTCTTTCCTATACGCAATTCGCACCTCCTCCTGCGTCGCTGTCTGAGGGATGCCGAGGAACGCATAGTAATCTGGCAGAGTGGAGGCCATGGTCGCAGTCCAAGGTGGAAAGTGTGCTCTCAGGCGCCAAGCCGCCGGCCTAGACGTCATCGCAGCCACGTGGCACAGTCGGAGATCCGCATAAGGAAGGTCTAGTGTGTGTACATAGTACAGACGAGTCCGAGCAAGAGGGCAACCTGCTACTAATACAGCGTGGGTGGTGGAACGAAAAAAAAAAACAACAAAAAGCGAAGAAAGACGAAGGGTAAGTGCTACTGGTCGACAGCAAAAAGGACGAGCGAATACATCGATACACGGGGCAGTCTGGCGCAACAATTTGGCAGCTAGAAAGGCGTCGGCATATAAGACGAGGTGATCGTCGAACGGACAGATGGCGGTACAGTCGATGTATGGAGGCGTGGCCCAGAAGGTAGCCCGATTTGGCGGACCTTGCCTCCGACCGTCAAGGTGCGTGAAGAGGTCAATGATGAGGGAGATGCCTTGCTGGAACCGGCTTCACTGGCTGCTGGACTCGACTCGGGGATGGTTATCAGCATCTTCTCAGTCTTTGTGGCACTGCCAGCACTGCCGACAGCGAACGACGCTTCGGTCGAGATTGAGTTTTGCAACAAATGCTCTGGGTGTGTCAGGTCTAAGATCACGGGTTAGCACGGTGTTCCATAGCTGAAGGCCATCCACTTACTTCCGATGAATGACGTGATCTCATACTGCGTCCCTCCCGAAGCAGTCATGATATTCCGCCTGGACGGTGGCAGGAGATCCGAGTCGCCCACAGCCAGCTCCGACAGAGGGAAGGATTGCTGCCTCGCGTGCTCAGGGAACGCCGTCTCTGCTCTTTGTCCCGAAGTAGTCACCAGCGGCCTCCCCGCCGAAAACGCTACACTCCCGATGCTAGCCCGGCCCCACGGCGGTTCCGGGAAGACGCTCAGAGAGAACTGGCCGGGCGACATGCTTCCGGTACTTGACGCCCGCTTGCTCTCGTCCTCTGGCCTCGCCAGAAGCTTGAGTGCAGCGATGGACTTGTCGAGCTCTTCTTGCTCGCGCAAGAGGCCAGAGATGCCCGACGAGCGGGCGGACCGGGCGAAGACGTCGCGAGGGTCTTCGTCCAAAGAAAGGGATCCAGTCGACGGCGGTCGCTTGGCGTTGACGACACCGTAGAGGCCATGGACTGGAGAATCCGCGTCGCTCATGGAGTTGGGTGTCATGGGGTAGAGATACTGCTTGTCAAAGTCGCGAGAATAGGCACGAGGGGGGAAGGCGACCGCAGCAGCCTGTGGAGAGACGACGTCGACAGGGTCCACCGGATCCGAGATGACTATAGCAGTATACACTGGCTCCTTGACTACTGGGCTCTGGAGGGGTCCCATGGATTCTGGGGCAGCGGTCTTCTCCAGAAGTGCAGTCTCCATGCCTTCCACGACGGGAGACATGCCACGCTCGGCTTGGTCCTGCCCCCAGGCGCTGTTGCGAGTCGGCTGCGTAGTGGTGCTCTTCGACGGTCGACGTCCAAACCAGTTGGATACACGCAACGAGTATCCCGCTAACGACGGTTCCCACGACTGGGGCGGCTTCGAAGGCTCAGCGAAAGACAGCTCCTCGCCGAACATGGGGTTGAACTTTGGCTCTGGGACTTTCGGTGGACCAAGCAAGAACTCGGAGGAGCGCGGAATAACGGGGGGCATATTGTGGAAGGAAGAGGACCGATCAATACGTCGCTTGTTGAATTTGGTCGACCTCGAGCGGAAGGCATCAACCAGCATGTAGAGCACAAGGATATAGAGCTCGGTGCCCTGCAGGAAACGCGCAAGGATAGTCTCTGAGAACAACACTGCGATGGATAGTTAAACCCTTCGTTCAGAGTTTGAAGAGAGCAAGGCTTACATTCTATGATGTTCCCAGCACCGATAGCCGCGCTGATGGCCAACGCGAGAATCATAGGCAAGTAGCGCAGAAATAGATGCAACCGTCGTATAGCTCCGTACGAATCCAAAGCCGCCAAGTAGATGTTCAGGAGCAGCTTCAAAATCAGGATGGCGGACACACAAGCCTCCAACGCCCCTTCAGCATCTTGGATAGCGCCCAGCCGCTGTAGAGGCGTATAGACTCGGAACAAGACTTGCAGTGCCGTGATCGCCAGTGCCGATACAACCAGTGCCCACTGCAGGAAAAAACCGGTGATGCCCCATCGTGCCCAGCTCCCACTGTGCAGGTCGCGTGTATCCCTGCCATCACTCACTACGGGTGGGGAGCCGACAAACCCCCAGTAGAAGACGTAGCGAAGACCGAAAGATAAGGAATACGTGACCTCACGAGTGATGGTAAGCGCGAGGAAAGGATTCGTATTTTGGACGGCGGCGGCACTGTGCTTTCCGCGGATGAGGAGCTGAATAAGGTCAAGGACAGCACCAGTGAACGCAAACAGTGCAGCTGCATGCAGACACGCGATGATCCTATTTGCTTGTTTAGCAAAGAACAATCTATTTGAAAAGAGGACTTGCCAGTTCATCCGTTTGAAAATGAGGAGGAAAGAGGATGCGCCGAATGCGAATATGCCCACGGCGAAAAATGGAATGTCCGAGAGGATGGATTGCACCTATACAGGCGGTGAGCTATGGTCCCCAAGGGGGAATTTGAAACGCACGGTCGTCTCCTTGCTTAGCATTGTCGTACCGACCAAGTGGATGTCCCGTGAGTATTGTGCGTGCAACGAGGCAGGATCCATCTTGCTTTAGAAACTGCCGTGTTCCCTCGTGCAAGAGATGTATGCGAGAAGAATGTGGAGCCTCGCGAACGTGTTTGCCGACCGTGTACGAAGCAGCAAAGAGCGTTCGAGGAGTGGTACCGTTGAAAGAACGAGCTGGACCACCAGGGCGTGCTGAATGCTACACCGAGAAGGACACGAAAGCCTGCGACTCGTCCTCGGTGTCGGATGTCGAAAGTCAAGGAATGAAAGCGAGCCCCAGGCTTGCGCTAGAAACCTAGTGAAGCATGCGCACCAGCACTGGACGAAAGAGATGGGGGAGTCAAAGAGACGACCGCCCGCAAAGCGCACCTGGCGAGACGACGACGAGTTCCAGCTCAACGTCAGCTGAGAAGGACGGAATTCCCACAGAGCCATCAGCTTCATTACGCTCTATCAGCGACGAGACTGGTCTCGTCGTTGGTTGCCACCACGACAAATCCGCTCACTACTGAATTTAGCGCCAGGCACTACGCTTATTCTCAGGTTAGGGTCACAACTTTGTTCCCCGACCCAAGCTCGCTCACTGCCTAGGCTGCCGCACTCACCATCGAGCATCCTATGGCAGACAGCGAGCAGAGACGCATTGTCGTCCTCATCTCCGGCTCAGGTATCGCAGGTTCCCTCCCATGCAGCGCTCCTCCCTGTCTCAGCCGTAAACAACCCAAGGTTCAAACCTGCAAGCCCTCATCGATGCTCTCGGCACCCCTGCGCTCCCCAACGCCCGGATCGTCCTCGTGCTCTCCAACCGGAAGGCGGCGTATGGCCTCACGCGCGCACAGCAGGCAGATCCGCCCATCCCCACTGCCTACCTTGCCCTCCAGCCATATCTGAAGGCCAACCCCGGCAAGACGCGTGAAGACTACGATGCCGAGGTCGCGAAGATTGTCGTACAGGCTAACCCAGACATCGTAGTTCTCGCGGGCTGGATGCATATCATGAGCGAGGCTTTCTTGGACGTCCTGAACGGCGACCAGCCCTACGAGGGCGGCAAGAAGGTACAGAAGCCCATATCCGTGATCAACCTCCATCCCGCCCTTCCTGGTGCTTTTGACGGCGCGCACGCCATCGAGCGTGCATACGAGGCATTCCAGAAGGGCGAAATCGAGCATTCTGGCTGCATGGTACACCGCGTAGTCCGTGAAGTGGACGCCGGAGAGCCTGTCGTTGTGCGCGAGGTAGAGATCAAAGGGGGCGAGCCAATAGAGGCGTTCGAGGAGCGGTTACACAAAATGGAATGGGAGATCATCGTTCAAGGGACTACAAAGATTTTGGACGAGGTCAAGCCATTGCCGGGTACGTCTCCGTCTCTTTGAGCCTTTCTCTACTTATACTGCGCAGCAAAGCGATCGTGAATTTCGGGACCGGTCTTTAGCGAATCTTGCAAGTGTAGGTATACATTGCCAATAAAGATACTACACAATACGATACATTCCACATCACATCTCCGAACCTGCGAGAGATCTGCGAGAACATGCCCAAGGTATCCAGCGAGGTATTAATCGATTGCCAATGTCCGTGATACTGTCCGCTGTCTTCTCTTACGCGCCGGTTCATAAGCCGTACTCGTTTCCGGCGAAGCTCCCACTTCCACCAGTGAGCTGTCTGACGAGGAACATGCCCCTGCCCTCACTCCTGCTGCCTGTCACAGACTTGGGCCTCGGATATCGGTGACCGGGGCGCGGACCGTCGTGTTGCTTTGTCGGGCTTGTGCCCAATTGCCGTGTGGGACTGGAAGCCCCGCCAGTGAGCTGTCTGAGCAAATCAGCATCAGCGTTGGAGGTAGAAGTTACACCACTCCCGCCGCTGATGCCCGTAAATTGGCGAGCGAGGGTGGTCGTGCCTGTGGTCTGCGGTACGACGCGGGCGAAGGGGCCCGTACTCGCAGACATAGATAGAGTGGGTGAACGGGTAGCAGGTTGCCGAAGGGACAATGGAAGCAGGAGCTAGCACAACTGTGAGCCTCATGAACAACCTTCGAGGACAATGACCTACCATGCATTCGCGACACCAGACGCCACCTTCACCGTCCATCTTTGCTGCACTGTCCAGCTTCTTCCCACATCCAGCTTTACCAGACCCCTTGCGTCGGCCTTTCGCCTCTACTCCACCGCAGATTAGACAACCACCATGCCACTTAGAGCCCTGCGGACCGGGCACGACCCCTCGTTCCATGGGTGATACGGCTTTCTGGCATCCTGGGCAGATCGTTGAGCCACCAAAGCGTGGCTGAGACGTTGGGAAAGGTGTCTGGGGAGGCGGGGCAGTCAGCGGAGGACGTTCGTAACGACTTGAGGTGTAGTACGCCGTCCTGGTATCTTGCTTTGGGGTAGAAGACTGCCCAGTGGGAACAGCAGGTATCTTGGTTGGTTGGAAGATTCCGCCTGAATGGGTCTTCCGAAGTGTGATCTTTTCCGGAGGAGCGCACTGAAAAACGTAGCGTGGTGAGTTATACTCTTTAGTGAGATCAAAATCCAGTCGCTTACATGCACATGGCATGCTCCCTCCTCAACGCGCACAAACACAGCATGCCCACCTTCCTTCTCCTCAAATACCTCCCCACAAACCCTGCACGTGAAACACGCGGTGTGGTACCGCCTGGGCAGCACACCAGTGCTCGACGGCTCTTCGGGCACCGTAACGAACTTCCCGCCAAATTTTGTGCTGAAGAGCGGCTGGCGGCACTTCTCGCAGCGAGCGTCGGGCGGGATCTGTTCAGGAATGGACAGGCCCATCAGGGCTGAAAATGTCTGTGCCCGCTTCGTGCGTGTAGGAGTAGCATCTTGCGTACCGGAGGACGCGGAGAAGCCTATGGCTGAGCTAGCGAACGTTGGAGGGCTTGTCGGGGGTGGAGTGGAGGGAGGGAGGCTGGAACGAGAGGATGTGGCGTCTGAGCAGTCGCTCATCAGGTCGGGAGCGGATGAAACGGATGATTCATAACCAGACGACGCAACAGACGATGTGGAAAAGCTGCCTGACTTGTGGCTAAGCCCGAGACCGCGTATATCCGTAGTGACCGAGGCGACGTAATCTCCGTCCGTCCTGGACGAAACCGAACTCGCCGAACTCGATGTCGCGAATGGCGGCCGTGATGTCCTACGCACCGGCTCTGCGTCTGCAGAGCCAAGACTGCTTCGCGGCGACCGAATTGTAGCAGCCTCAGAAGCACGGGTGCCTGTGGTCTGCCTTGAGATGCTCGTATCCCCCGTCTGCTGGGCACGGATCGTTCGGTCTCCCGTGCGGTGCCTATGAACGACCGGACTTGCCTTGTCTCCAGTCTTATGCACCCTAAGCGGCTCGACGATGGTCGCCACGTTCCCCGAAAAGCCATATCCCATAGCACGATCGCCAGTCTTTTGTGGCCTAATAGTCGCGAACCGATCAAGAGAGTCGTCGTCGGTGGTGAAGTCACCAGCTCGACCGGCCACAGAACGGAAATCTGCTGTAGTCGCGCCGGTCAGGTCCCTGACGATATGTGTCCCCTCAGAATCGCCCGTGCGATGCCGATTGATCCTAAAGGGGACCGTTGACTCGCCGGTGCGGTCTGGTATTAAAGTGAAACCAGCGCGTTCACTCTCGGTGCCAAGGTCTGTCTCAGACAGTAAGTCTGTCTCGCCAGTCCTATGAGTGACGAGAATAGAGCGCAGTGATGCTGTCGAGGTAGTCTTCCGCAACGTTCGTGGACGCAATGGAGGACTACCGATCTCCGTCTCTCCGATGCTCACGCGAGGACGAGAGCGAGAACGCGAACGGCGTCGCGCAGTGGAGGAAGAGGAAACAGCCGGTGCTTTGGTGGGTGTCACGGACGGCGATCCAGACAAGAAGCGTTTCTTCATTTCTTCGATGGCATCCTCTGTCGGCTTGCGTGGTGTGCTGGTCGTGCTCTGACCTGTAGGTGTACTCTCCAGAGGATCCATGGACTCCCTGGCACGACTTCGGCTACGACGGGTCCTTGTACGTGCGGCAGGACCGTTGTCGGCCAAGGAAGCGCGCGCGTGACGTCGAGGACTTGGTCTGTCTCCAAAATCGCTGCTAACATCGGAGTCCTTGCGGATACGTTCAAAGGGCGGTGTTTCTCCCCTAGATGTTCGAGTATCTAGGTCGCGAGTGACGGAAGGGGGACTAGTAGGAGTTGAATAACGGTTGGTGGGATCTTTATGGAGTGACGCGAAAGGGCTCATGTGTTCTTCAAAATTGAGCTTGCCGACTTCACGGACGGCAGTGGGCGCGCTCTGCCTGCTCTTCAAAATTCCGAGCCGAGTTTCGAGCTCATCGAGCGTAGGGCTACCTTCTGTTTCTCTATCTTGGTCTCGATCCATGCGATTTCCTCCAAGGCTACCGGGCTTGCCTCTCTCTGGGGTGGCAAAGCGTCCGGGAGAGTCTATGCCTTTCGGCGGACGCTTCAAGCAAGTGTCGAAACACTCCGAGCAGCACGGTCGCCCAAGCAAGTCTACCATGGGCCGTGCACCAAGATTCTTCTCGCAGCCTTCGCAGTTGAAACATTTCTTGTGCCAGACATGACCGCTTGTTTCGACAAAGCCGCCTTCCGATTTCAGGATAAGGACCGGTTTGCGGCAGGTCGCGCACTTCCCCTTCGAGCCGCCGTTTTCGACGAAGCACAGTCGACACAGAAAGCGAGTACCGCTACTGCTAGGCAAGCCGTCTAGCTCGGCAGAGCTCATGGAAGAAGGGTCAGGATATATGGTTGCATCCGGAGGGAAGATAGTAGAACATATGCCACACCGGAAGGACGCCAGCGTTTCCTTCGGCTGGAGGACAGAGCCGTAAACTTTAGCCAGTTCCGAGCCATGGGGGCTGGGTAGGATGCCCTGCTCTGCGTGGGTGTCAGTGATGGTGGAATGGTCTAAGCTCGCTCTCGTCTTCGGGGTGGAATATGCGGAAGTGACAGAAGCAATATGCTCCGACACTCGGGTGCTCAAAGGAGACTTTGCCGAAGTAGCATTGGAACCGGATGGCTGGGGGAATCGTTTCGTCAGGCTGGGATTTGATGTGCCAGTCGGTACTTGACCGATTGGCTCAATCGCTTGTTTCGCAGGTTCTGGCTTCGTAGACTTTGTAACATATGTCTTTGTCCATCGGTCCTGGCTGCTTTCATCGTCGTCGCCGCCGTTCCACCTGATAGCGGCAGCTACCCAGCGCATAGCGTCAGATGTTACCGCGTGTATTGTGCGTGTCCCTGCATAGACGCACCGACGGCAGTCCCACCACATTTACATCGTGGCCCAACGACAATGTCACCGCATCTCCTGCAGAATCCCATTGGAGAGTTGTACGCAGGTCGTGAACTGAGGGGAAGTCGTCCGTTTGGAAAAGTGTGAGGGAGGTCAATGCTTTAGTCGAAGCTGTACTAAAACGGGCAAGGCAGGTTCGAGTTGCCGCGATCACGTGTATTCATTCCTTTCTGGCGCCGCAAACGCGTCGTCGGATTCACGCGTAGCTAAGTAAAAGAACTTGAACAAGGTCGAGTCATGCATGCAAGTCCAGCAGAGCCAGGCTAGGCCCGTCCTCCAGAACGATACACAGAAGCCTATCTCCATCCCTCCTTCCGCTCCCGCTACGAGGATCTTGCGAAGCTGGTTCGCTGTACCCCGTTTTCATGGAGTGCCCGAGCTTTGATATCTGCGCGTGTCAATATCATAGAGCGCTGCACTGGAAGACAATTTTAAATACCTTAGCAGACACAGCTGTAGCCAGCTGACCAACCGCTCTGCAGCTAAGGTGGCCGCCGTCGTCGCCAAGCTTGCCCAACTCTGCACGAAGGCTGTTCGTCCACGGAGAGGATAGGACATAGTCTGCTGGTTTTGAACTCGATATCAGCCGCGCAGTCCCAGCAAAGCTGCATCTTGCTCACCTGTCTTACGATCAGCGTGATCCACCAGTGCCTCTATCGCACTTATTGTCACGGTCCGCGCATACGTGAACAGCGTCTGGTTCTCGTCCGCATGCCGTAGCTCGGTTAATTCCAGCAGAAAATCCCGCAGAAAATCGAGACCCATCACGCGCCATAGCGGCCCACATTTGCTTCGCTGTACAGAAGCAATGACAAATGATGCGAAAGCTGCTAAGATTGGTAGATTCGGTTTCACCATGCAAGAAAAAGGAGCATGCTGCGCTCACAGCTTGTCAAGACGTCAGAATACTCAAAGTCGATGGCCAACGCCCAAATGTCTTCATCCGTCCAGCAAAGCAGCCGTCTATCCGAGCCAAATTCCAAAATAGAAGGCTCAGCCACAGAAAGCGCTACCAAGAGCGCTTGCAGCAGTCTCGGGCCTTCACTCATTCGTGCTGCTTCGGGCGAAGCGAGCCATAAAACGACATTCTTGAAGAGCGATAACACTGACTGGAGGTGGAAGCATGTCGTCATCGGTATGTCAGCGTGCGCAACGAGAGTCACAAATTGGAGGAGGTGTGTCGCTGTACGACACTGCAACCAAGACCAGTCGGTGGACAATCTGCGCATGCATGTTCATCAGTGCTTGAAGATTGGGCATAAATGACGCACCGGCTAACAGCGCGGAGTTCTATAATGTGGTTAGACATGACTCTGCCGCTTTGAAGAATGACACGTACTGTCATCAAGGCGAATCTTGAGCTTCAGTCCGTTCTCTTTGGAGAGCTCAGATATAGAGTCGAAGAGTAACTTGGAAGGGATGTACGAGAGTAATTCGATAATGATGTCCTTCACTAAGTAACAGTCAGCCCGATGTGGACAAAATGCATGGTTCGGCGCACCTCTAAACTCCTTCGTAGTGTTACCGAGCGAAATGAAAAGGCTGCAGGACGTCTTGCAGAGCTGGTGACACAACCCGTTGTAGCCATCTTCGCAAGCATTCAATAACCACGCAGCTGCCTGTGTACACTTCAGCAATACGTCGAGAGCGTCTTCATCCAGAGTCTGTGTCGATGATGCCTGGGTCTTCGCATGCTGTAACAGCGCCTAGGGAACACAATGAGCTGTTCTGAGCATGGGGCGAAGTGGAGCGTAACTCACTGTAACCGCAATACCCGCCGCACTAGGGTTTCTTGCCAAAGCATCGAGAAGGGGCGTCTGCCAACTAGATAGATGATCGGGAGGCCCTAAGTGATACAGCCATGTAGAAGTCTCCAACTCTCTATCAGGCTTTTACACAAAAAGGGGTGGTATAACTTACCACGCAAAGGATGACATCGTACTCAGTGATGCGTTCGTCATCCCAAACCGTCCAGCACCATTCTACGGTATTCCCGCACCCACAAAGTGCCGTAAGTTGAGGTTCTGGATGACGGATAGGAGCGAGGACAGTCCGATCGGCCTCTCGAGGAGGAAGCACGGATTGTATGAGGCTAAGTAGGATGGCCTGTGTATGCGGACGAAATGAAGACCTCTGCTGTTTTTCGTTAGCCATATCAGCAGCCGCAAAGAGGGAAACGGCCATGGCTTCAGCTATCCGTTGGCCCGGAGCCAGTGAATCATGGCGCTTATGGATGTAGTTTTGCAACGGACGAAGAAGACCTGCGGGACACGGGCTATATGCGTGATCAGAGAAGGGGGTGCAGCTCGGAGAAAAGAGATATACCTCCTGCTTGTCTTTGAGGATTGAGAATTGAGCTGAGGACCAATGACATACACGGCATATAGCAGATGTAGGGCCAAGCGGACAGCAGCAGGTGAGGCATGTTCCAAGCCGATGAGAACTGGCACGTCTTCCCAACTGTCTACATGATGCATATAGATGATGTCGGCTGCCTGATACAAGTCACTCACGAGGTAGTTGTGATGCCGCGTGGAGGGCAGATTCATCTCTGTGTTTCAAGATTGTTTGTAAACTGTCCTCCGGTGCATCGACTTTTGCGCTAGCGCTTTTCAGCAAAGCTAAGGTCACGCTACTGAGCTTAGCAATGATGTGATCAACCCAACAAACAAGAGCGACGGTGTCTTCTGGGTGGTCGAACGCGGCAGCTATGTCGTGGAACCTCCGTCGGAGCTCGAAGAGGCGGGTTACAAACGGAACATGTACTGCAGTACGTTAGACGCAATAGACCTCGAGGTATGCGCGACAATTTACGCAAGGATGCCAACATTGGTGCCTTTCGAAGCACTTCGTCGGTCTCTGTCTTCAAAGCGTCCAGGAAAGCCATGATGATATTGGCAGCCGCATATATGCGCTCGAAAACAACCGATCCCTACTCAGTTGCAAAAATTAGCATGAGGGCGCATATCAGTCGACATGTGCCTACATTCCCGTCGTTGGCCAGACAACATTGGTCGACCGCCATAAGCGCTTCGATGGAGTTTTTCAAGTCTTCGTCGCGATTCGCCCCCTCGGAGGCGGGAGATAGTGTGATTTTCAAGTCGTCGTTCATCGTCGGCCGTCTGGAAAAAGGAGTGAAACTGAGAGGTGAAGTGCTGGTTCTCGAGGTGAATGCACGTGATCACACGACAAGTGGTTTCTGTTCCGCACGTCAAACTCAGCCCATCCCAGCAAGTCTCCTGCCGTGATTAGGAAGACAGAAATGCGAACTCACGGCAAACGCACCAATGACCTAGAAGCAACTTTATCCGTCCTCGCCAGCGTCATAGAGCTTTCAAAGCCAATGACTATTAACGAGGCTTGAAGCTCGGACATGCTGTCCATAAGTCGTCGAAAGTCTATATCGACGAAGACACACAAACGGTATCTGAGTCTCAGGTATAAAGGCAGGAAGACATCTCAACAGCGGCTTAGTACTTAGTGGTGTGAATAGTGGGGAGTCGCAAGTTATCGTTATCAAAGCCCCTTGATAATCCTGAGTACACTAGTGATGTCGGTCTTGCATTCCAACTCTTCTTCGTTATGCGAAAACATGGTTTCAAATGCCTCATTGCATTCTGGAGCCTGCACATTCTGTCAACAATGTTAGGCGTAAGGAGGTCGCTTTCCACACACCTCGCCGTCATAGTATTGAATATCTTCCCACCTCTCGTCCTCTTCCGCGCGTAAAGTTATTAGCATTTCTCTCCGCATGGCGGTTAGACCCCCGCCAAGCTGCATTGTTTTGTCTTCGTTCCGTTTAATGGCAACCTGGACCTCCTTTGCGTCAACAGCCTTCTTCTCCTTCTTCGGTGCGGGAGCTGGGGCAGGTTCATCGGGGTCAGGAGGCGGTCCTTCATCCGATTCTTCATCAGAGCTGGCCCCTGCGCGACGTCTTGTCTTGCGGGTGAGGATATCCATGTAGGTCAGCGCCGGGCGCAGCTGGTGGATCTCGTTTATTGGGTGCAGGTGCAGCTTGCCTGATGTCAACGGCCCATTTTAGTTAGTAGCATCAGCTACAAAAACAAATACGCTACACACCATCTCTGACAACACCTAGCACATACGCTCCGACTTGTGGAATAGGCTCACTACGGAGCCGCACCTCGGTCAGCTTCGGCTCTTCCCCTTCCTTCTGTTTAAGCTTGGAGAGCTGCTGGTTCTTCTCTTTATCGTCCTGTACGCGCGCTGCGCCGAGATCTTCTGACCTTTCCGCATTCCATACTTCTGGCCTAGTATCAATAGGGACATGGACTTCGAGTCGCTTCACGTTCGGCTTTATGCGAGCCCGTATGCGCTTTCCACTAGCAGCAGCTGATGGTGGGGCTTGAAGTGGACGCGTTTGAAGTGGGAACTGATGCAGCTGGAGGTTAGGTGTGAGAGCATTACTATAGTGTATGGGTAAAACGGAGACGAGTCGGTCCTCCCCGGCGTCCATGGTCGTCGCGGTATAAGAATTATATGGGCGCCTTTGGGCTAACGCCACGAAGGCAATTACCTTTCTCGGATGCTGTGTATCGGCACGAGACTGGAGCTGGACCAGACGTGCTCTCCATTTCCAATCGGGTGTATGTATGGGTACCGAAGGTACATTTCATTTATACTACCTCGTATATGGAGTCAAATGGGTTCTCTATTCCTTGATGTCCGTGGTACGCTGCGGGGTCTACCTCTGGCGACGCGTCCTCCGAATAATACACCGATGCCTCCGAGCTTGAGGTGCTACTGCTCGAGCCCTGGCGGGATCGAGCGAGAAGCGAAGGTTCAAATGATGCTCTCAAATATCCTGCAACACTTTCTGGCACAAGCACCACTGAGGGGACGAAACCTGGCTCGGTCGACACGAAATCAGCAAAGGGGTCAGATAGCGCTCGGTCACGGCGATATGGCACGATGGCAACAGGGGATAACGGGCGATCCGGGAACCGATGTCGGTCGATGATGCGGTGAGCCTTCGACCCAGCTCGGTATATAGGGCTCCAGGCCGCTGCACTTTGCAATAGCGCCTCTCGTTCGTGGTTACGGACGACGCGTCTGAAGCTTTGCATCGTGAAAGCAGACACAAATACCCCTTGTTTACTGCTTTGTAAGATTTCAAGATAGCTATAAGGACGATGTGCTTACAGTCGAGGCAGATCCAGCCGATAGATGTCATAAGCCATCGTTGATTACTGCCCACGAGCATCACAATTGCCATGGCCAGGAAAATAACTGTTAGAAGTGCCGTGTAGTATAGCTGTAGAGTATACGTATGTCAGCAGGTGACTCTACTCCAGTGGTACTTCGCTCACCTCGTTCGTCAGCATTTGCCTGAATGTCTGCATACGCGAAATGTACTTGCTCAGACGGCTCATGACAGAGGATGCGCCGGAGAGCGGACGATACCCGTTTTGTGTGCGTAGGTCCCTTTGCAAAGGGGTGGAATTGGCTTGACTCACGCTCAGAGACATCGATAGAGTCCTAAGAGACGGTACCGGTGCGCTTGCTGTGCGAGTTGACGTCTTGCGGGATATACTCCGTGATGCAAGGTCGGTAGGCAAGTCCCCCGGCTTCAACAGGTCGTTGCCAACAAATTGAACAGCTGAAGAGAGGTTATGGGAGCTGTTATGTGGCTGTGCTGTGTGCGTCTCTTGCTGGGCGTGAGATACTTCGGGAACGTAATCCCACCATCCTCTTGAACCTTCGGCGTCTGGATCCAGATTTCCCGCACCACCTGCAGTCATTAAACCCCTGAGCCCATCGGATAGAGTCTGGATTGAGATGCGCCCTTGGTACCTAGCCGATTTCGCATTCTTCCGGACGGCATATAAGACTATGACTGTGAACTTTTCATCTAGATGCAAAGTCAATAGGACGAACTCACAACAGGCGCATATGAAGGCAGCTTCGATCGTTTGTACTATGATGAGGTACGGCATTAAACCGAGGCTCCCGGAAGGGAAGCAGCTCCCTAAGCCAATCATCAGCTCGACGGGGCATATGATAAACGTGTCAGACTTGCCTGACAGTCTGCGGGATACCCGCGACTTTACCATATTGGCAACCAGTAAACCAATTAATATAGCCCTCAGGACAGACAAGGCGGCCAAGACTAGGCGGGAGCTGTTCAGACAGCGATACGCTTTGTATCCCAGTATACCCGTCACCTACGTGTCAAACAATCGTTATCCTAAAGTATATGCCACATAAGGGCATACGTACCAGTAGGCTGTGGGATACTCCCGTACAAGTCTTGACAAAAATACTGATGCTAAATGAACTGCGTCAATGACTGATTGCAAACAGAAATGATAATGCATACGTGGTACAGTTTGCGAATTGGTCGAAGTAAGTCGCCACGAGAGACACCATCGCTGGGATGCCGACTGCTTGACTGGTGAGTAGAGCGTAGAGTAAGGTTTTATTCTTTATGTTGCCTCTGCGGAGGAACGTGATCGCCCAGAGTGTGTTGATTGCGAAGAATGCTGCAGCAGCACTAAGCAGGACAAGGACAAGATTTGCGTTCCGTAAGTCCACTATGAAAGGCGTTGCGATGAGTGAGCCATCGGCGAGAGCGTGGTAGGGCGGTTCGAATGAGTCTATGGGCGTGGTGTAGTACAGATTGTAATCGGGAATGACCACTGTAGTGCGAAGCTTGATGACTACAATGTCTGGCGAAAGACCACAACAAGTCGACGAGGACGCCGAGCGTGAGTGTACTTGGAGTGGCGCTTCATTGCTGAAGAATGGAGGAGGCATGTCATAAACCTGTCTGGAGAGAGCACTGCGACTGCCAGCTTTATGCCGAGATGCACACGTTCAGGACAAACAATATCCGATGGTGACCAGGGCTTACGGTCTGTAGGCCTGGGAGAACGCAGAATGAAGATTCAATTGTCGCTAGCTGCAACCAGGGCAGCCATTTACACGTATGGAGTTCAGGGTGAAGCATATCGTTGCGCGTCGATACAGAACAGCCGGCAAGTAGCGTCATAGCTGTCGGCATGGTCTCTTCTGTTCCTCATGAGCACACATGATAGGCCGAACGTCCTGTGCAGAAATGCGCGTCATGTCGGATGCTATACCTGCCCGCAGGCCCGACAAGACAGAGGGAGACGATGCCACCGCTCTGATTAATAATGAGTTCAGATGCCCTTGGCAGAATGCGACATGGAAAGCCGTGCTTACCGGCTATTGGATGGGACGATAAACTTGACGACGGCCGGTCCGCAGCCTGCTCTGTTCATTTACGGCCACGGGAGGAAGCGTCCAGCATGGTGTAACAAAAGTCTAATGGCGCATTTGTCCGGTTACGCCGATATTGGATATCAAACTTACCGGTGCACATCGCGGACGACAACGAAGATGCAGGACAATAGATTGTCGGGTGTCGGTGTTCATATGCATGCACATGTGCACAAGAGGGAGCGCGCGGATCAGAGGGAATGGAATCCGAGCGCCTGCATTTTATTCGCACTGGTCCTCAGTATAATATTCTTTCATCGGCCGCTCTTCACACATCCAGTAAATCACGGCTAATCAGAAGCAAATGGCGAAAGGACCTGTCATAATAATTACCGGCACTCCAGGAACTGGCAAGACTACTCATGCACAAATGCTCGCTGAAGAATCTCCGATCCCGCTGAGGCATATTAATGTTGGGGATCTCGTAAAAGACAAGGGTCTGTATGAGGAGTACGACGAGGAATGGCAAAGTTACACGGTGGATGAGGACAAGGTGTGCTTCTCAGCGCCGTGTACCAGTTGCTTTCTTCATGTCTTCGACGTCTATACAGTTGCTGGATGAACTCGAACCCATTGCCTCGGAAGGTGGCATAGTCCTGGACTGGCATACATGTGAGATTTTCCCAGAGCGGTGGGCGGATCTCGTTGTTGTGCTGCGTTGCGACCACACCAAACTCTGGGACCGCTTGGAGAAGCGGTGAGCAATGGTCACCACATATTGCATTCTCTATCTAAAGTCTCTCGTTCCCAGAGGATACCCGTTGAAGAAGATACAGGAGAACAACGAAGCAGAGATTATGGAGGTGGTCCTCGAGGAGGCTCGCTCCTCATACCCTGCCGAGATAGTTGTGGAGTTGCAAAGCGAAGACACTGAAGACTTGGAATCTAACGTCGCACGCATTGTGCAGTGGATTAATGCATGGAAAGAGCAGCATGCAGGCGATGCTGACGACTGATTCTACTAGGCATGTCACTGTCCCAAAACATTGCCTTTGGATACTTGGATGTCTCCGACGCACAACTTGAGGGGGTAAGCAAAACACAAGCCCGGGAGAAGCTCCTGCTGCCGTGACTTGCGGCCCGCGTTCGTGGCCATCGCAAACACTGTTGCATACCCGCGGAGTGCACCAGTTTGCTGAATGGCAGAAGCGAGACGAAGGTTATTTCTACTTCGGCACTATCGCAATTAGATTCTATGTCCAGTCACAGACCTTGCGATAGCGTACACGCTCAATAAGTTTAGATATACATGCAGCCCAATTACGCGAGTTGAAGATCAGGCTGCCTCGAGAGCTTTAAGATGCGCCATGGAACACGCACCCCTCTGCCAGTCCTTCACCAGCCTGTATTTGCGCTGCACCATGCAGCCCTCAACGTCGCAAGAAGGACGAGCTGGTGGTGGGTCTGCACGGGTCGGGTGGATGTAGTCGTCCGCTGGCGGCGACAGCATAGAAACAGGCACCGAAAACGTCATCAGCATGCGTTTCTCATCCGAACCATCCACAGGGGGGACCTTGGTTGTTGACACCCAGCGATACATAGTCGGAGGCACAGGAATCTGGCTGGCGGTGTCCTCAGCGTCTTCCATGTCGTCTTGTCCATTCCCAGCGCCTGGTGTAGGTCGATCCTCCGCTGTAGAGAGCGCATTACGTCTGCCTCTGGCGCGTGATTGCTTCTTGAGTAGACGATTGATGGTCTCCGCCTGAATCCGAATGAGTGCTTGCAAGTAGGGAAGCAACTCGAGTTCTCCGCACCTTTTCGTCCTCGAGCTTCTTCTCCGACAGGTTCTTGCGCTTCCTTGCAGTCTCCTCCCGCTTCAAAGCTATCTCAAGCTCAGTGAGGGGTTTCTTCTTCCGCGGGTTAGGAGGCTCGGCTGAGGTAACAGCTGTGTCAGCTATCCAAACAACGCAGCATGAGCAATACTCACCAAGCGATACATGAGAAGAGTCTACAACATTCCTGAGGACAGCCTGCCGGGCAGTCAAAGGCCGGCCTGGTGTGGCAGTTGTCTCTTCAGAGGAGTCACCGTCATCTTCGTCAGAATCTTCGGATTCTATATCACTCCCTATGTACAGTCAGCTACACCTGCACGGCCTCAAAGAAAGCAGTATACCTCGCGATAGAATGCGACGACGCGAAGTGCCATCCGGTGTAGGAGTAGCGGTGGCAGCGATACTGGAAGCTTCGCTCGCCTGTTGCGGTAGCTTTAACTTGATCCTGAGGCGAGGGGGAAGACTCGGACCAGGATCAGGAGCTTCGACGTCCACGTCCGAACCCTAGGTACCCATGGGTTTTCAAAGCTTACATGGTAGCAAGCTGCATGAACCTACTTCGTCTTCGTCGTCTTCCAGCTCGTCCTCCTTGTCCGAGAGTTCGTCAGCCTCTTCCTCCTCGTCTACAGCCACTTCTGGCTCCTCCGTTTCAATGGTGGGTTGCTCGCCCTCCACGTCCATTTCTTCCTCCGACTCTGACACTTGCATGTCTACCTTGCGGGTAAAGCGAGCACGTGTATTCCGACGGCGGGGCGGCATAGCGAGCGGACTGAGCGGTGAGCAACGAGTTGGAGGGAGAGAGGAAAGAGCTGACCACTACCATGATTAGACATGTCGTGCCTAAGAATTAACTCGTGTGATTCTGGCGCCGTTTGATATCAAGAAGGATGATACACTGTGGGATTGCTGTCTTTCTCTCAGGCGGCTCGGAGTCGGTGCGCAACCTCCTTTTCGGGGAGCATTGGAATAAACGCCCACTATTGCAGGAGACGTGAAGTATTGTGGTACTGTAGCTCAACAACACAGCACGTAAACCTCGCCCACGAGCAACATATATTATACATAGGGACATGTACAAATCTTGTAGGCACGTCATGGGCGAAATTCAATTAACAAAATGAAGCCACTTATCCAGGTGATTAACAAGCGCATGAAGGAAGCCTTAGAGTTGGTGGCAGATGAGTCGGCGTTGATAGGCAAGAAGCCGGCATAGCTCGTTCCGTTTAGGGGCGAGTCCATTCCCATGAATGCCAATGTTGTAGAAGATATCAACTCGCTTGTGGCAGTCATTTCAGCGACCAAATTCGGTGCATCACAGAAAGGAATAAGCTTACGTTGTCGTGAATACTGATGTTTCACCTGATACCGTAGTCGTCACGGTCTCCGTGTCCATAGAAACGAGGACTACCGTGATAGGCGTCGGGGCGAATGTGGGTGTAACGACCACAGTCACCGTTCCCTCGTTGCCTCCTCCGGGCGTAGGGGTACCAGGTTCGACAATGCCTGTTATCGTAACGACGGCAGTCGGGTTATACCCGGAGGTTTCAAGAACGACGGGGCCGTAGCCGTCGGGAGGCATGACAGTCATGGGCCATTGTGCGCCGGCAGCGCCGAGGGTGACTGTCATAGCTTGAGGCACAGGGCCACTTGTGGAGCTCGTGCTGGCAGACGACACGCTGAACATGAATTTATAAGATGATTGATGGAGGAGAATGAGAGTCACACTGACGTCTGCTGAGTCGCAAAAAGCGCAACACTCCCGGTAATTTGATTGAAAGCGTTTGTGTTTAGGAAGGGGTTCGCTGGCGGTGGCGACGAAGACTGCGGCCCCGCGAAAAATTCATTGGTGGGTGAGCAAGGGCCGGAAGGCAAGGGATTTTCGATAGTAGCCGGGATTGGTGTAATGGAAAAGAACTGGCTTCCCGCTATGTGCGAAGTCTCGTACAGAGTGATCTGACAGGACAAGGTGTCAACACCAGCAGTCATCGATATAGGCTGTATACTCGAGAGCCCTCACATTATATGATCCGGGTCGAATACAGTCAGGAATAGGCCAGTTGAGATGCTTGACTGTACTTCTAACTGACTCAGTGCGAACTTTGCAACCACTAGGCGATGTTCTCGCGCCCGTATCAATTGCGTCTCGAGGGGGCCTCCGCTTCTGGCTAATCAGTAGTGATCCTCGGGCGCAATACACATGGCGTTTCCAGTTGATAAATCACCAGGCACTGTGAGGGCCCACTGTCTCATTCTTCATGCCTTAGACAGCAACTTTCGTGTCTGGCGCAATTATACTGCGCTACCTTCCTTTAACTTGTTCGTGTTGACGGCTAGCCGCCACTATGTCATTTATTTCGACCGTCTGGACGGTTCTGTCGTGCATCTATGTTCTACGCATCGCCTGTTATGCACAGATCTTGCAGAACGGTCAAGTCTTTACGAATGGGCTTGCGATATTCGACTCGCCCGCTCCAAATTCGTGAGTGCCTTCTCTTCGAGCGTTTTTCAGGTCTAATAGTCGGTCAAGTGTGCTGCATGCCGGAAGCTCCATGAGCATTGCCGTTGACGTTGGTTAGATTTCTACCTTTGTTTTATAGCCCTAACATCGACGACACTTCCTAGGTGAGCGGTAACGGTCAATTGAGCCAGCCAAGCTTCAGCACCGCTGGTTTCGACTCCTTGAACATCTTTCTTGTCTCTTTTGAGGCAGGCCTCAATCTCACAGTGACAAACGGTACGCAATTCTTGCTACAAGAGCAGGCTGAGCTAGTCTAAGGGCCGGCAATGTTGCCTAATCGAGGTTTTTGATCCGGCGGTCCACACTCAAGCGCCCCAGCGAGGCCTCTCAGCATCGCATCCACCGTAACACGACGGTCTGGAATACTTGGGTAGTCGGCCATTACCCGGTGGATTCACTAGTAGCCATGACTGCAGATACTCACATGAACGGCGAGAGCCTTCCTCAAACCTCGAGGATTCCGTTGTATGAAGGCAGCACCCAATTTCGTCACTGGCGGTTCTCTCCAGAGCAACTGGCGGAAACTCGTAGTCTGCTGAATGCTGCTGCGGTAGCAGTTATCCGTGACGCTTTTGAAAGCGATCAGGTGAGCTACTCTTTATTCATGATTCAACGCACTCCGTTTGACGGTTAGAATCCAGCCAGGCTCCTCATCGCAAGTCTCCTTCCTGAGTGCCGAAGAAGAGAACCTTCTCGTGAAGCTCTACCTCGGAAAAATCCCACAGTTATGTGGAATCTTCAGGTTTCCGGAAGAGGTAGAAGCCACGGCAATGTCTTATCTCAAGCGATTCTACCTTAAAAACACAGTCATGGATTGGCATCCTAAGAACGTGATGTATGGCGTGCGCACGGCTTGGTTTCTCAGGAGTCAAATGTACTCACCTGAAGTTCAGGCTAACCGTCGTCTTCCTGGCGACTAAGACAACGAATTACCCTATACCTCTAGATGCGTACGCCAGCCGAATTCCTAAAACTACGCCAGGTGATGTTCTCGACCTCGAGTTCCTTGTGGCGCAAAGCCTCGGATTCGACTTCACTATATGGCACGCACACCGCGCACTATGGGGCCTGTGGCTTGACATACAGGTACGTCCTGCAGTCTGCTTGTCTGTTACGTTTCATGCAACACTCTATTAGACGCTGTCAGACATCCCCCTAGACGATCTCAGCAAAGCCTATGATGGAGCGTTGACGAGCATTCGTGCATCTCGCTTCACAGATGCTGAGTTTATCTACACGCCGTCACAGATCGCACTTGCCTGTCTCTCCATTGCGTCGCCCGCGCTTGCTTCTGCATGGTTGCGCTCGAAATCCGGTCAGGGATCCGACGATGCAATTTCCGCTATGCTGGAACCTCTAAAAGCGATGGTCTTGTCTCAGGGATCGCTTCCGGATGTAGAAGCTGTCCGGGAGGTTGACCGGCGTCTGCGATTATGCAAAAACCCTGAAAAGATCCCGGGAACCAATGCGTACAATAAGAAGGTTGCTGAAAAGCAGAGGAAAGCGGAAGAGAAACGGCTGCGAAAGGCTGAGCTACAGCGCAAGGCAATGGAGGACGGGGATCCGTTTGGAAGCACACTTACTGCGCAAGCGGACTTGGATGACGATGACGACGACGAGTGAGTGCTACTGCAGACACTACTATCTCAGTTGCTGTATACGTGTTTCCTTGATCCACTGTACTATATCATATCACTGTTTGATCTCGTGTTCGTTACCACTAGTGTTCTTCGACTCGATTGCATCGAACCTAGTAGTCAATCTGACCCTGTGCTGAACATTCGTCACCAGTACTGGTACATCCTGGCTATCTGGTTGACAGGTCCGCGATGCCCGTTCCTGATCGCAATCGCAGTCGTTGCTGTCGTCGGATACAGTGTACGCGCGAGGACTCTTGTCTTGGCGGTGCGCGCTTGGGGAAAGGCCGCTTCCAGGCTTGGCGGGTTGAGCGCGTCTTCTGCGTCTGCCTCTCTCCACGACTCTGGCAAAAACAACGGTCTTGTTCTGGCCTTGCATCGCCTCTGCTTCGCTCCTGCGGCTATCTAGCCTGCAATTATCTGACTTTCTCTTTATTTAACGACCTTCACGAGCGGACGCTCCGGCTAGTCTAACATGTCCTTGCCTCTCCTTCGACAACCAGCTGGCCTCTCATCCGATACTCTCGACCCACCCATACCTCAGACGCACACGACGCAAGACGACCAATGGAGCGCTCACGAAACCATAGAGTCCGAAGACGATCGGGAGGAGGCCGTGGACCGCCAGGAAGACCTCACGATCCGAACGGGCAAGCTATCGCCGGCGACAGACAAGACCCACGAAGTTGTCGAGTCTCCATCACCTACAGCACCCAGCCCGACCGCTGCGCAGGATGCCCAACCTCGCGAGGCAGACGCGAGCAGTGTACATAGCCTGCCAGAGGTCCAGGTATCCGACTACACCAACTCGAGTGAACCCATGACTTCACGTAGCGCGAGCTCGTCGTACCCTGCACCGCCATCAGCGGGTCTAACAGCGACCGCCACGTCTTCGCTGGATCGAAGAAACCGCCATCGGTCGACCATGGATGTGAGTAACGAGTACAGGGATGCTATGAACCAGCGCTGACGGTTGCAGACCCGTGCATCAAACCGTATATCGGGCTTCTTTTCCAACCTCATCCATCGACGAGACTACCCACCACAACCAGCACCCCACGAGACGATGGCTTCATCGCCAACGACGACGAAAGAATCGTCTCGGGCATCGTCCCCCATGCCATCACGTCCCTCCACCCCACCCCCATCTCTACCTGCTCCTTCCTTAAGTGATCTGGGACTCTCGCTTTCATCGGTAACAGGCCCCCTCTCACCATCACACTTCAGCTCTCCTCCATGTAGCGGTGCATTTCTTCAACCGCACTTCCTGCTGCTATGTCATGCGCAAGGCCTTGACGTTCTACCCTTGAATTCACCACCTATACCGCAGCCATATTCTTTGATACGCCGCGTACCTTTCAAGAGTGTCGTGGTGATGGAGCATCGCGGGGTTCTGGTTGCCATCGCTGGCAGACGAGACGGCGTCCGAGTGTATGCACTGGAAGAGGTTAAGCGAGCAGTTGAGTGGAGAATCGAGATGGAGGTCAAGCGGGAGCGTGAAAAGTCTCGTCGAGAAGAAATCGAAAGAGGGGACTCGTTATCGCAAATTATGAAGG